TTTATTTAAACTAGTCCAGATACAAAACGAAAATCAGCTCACAAATGAAAATAAACCTCCTCTTAGACTAAATTTAGGACTTCAAACTAAACCACATTCATAAACAACAAGATGAGATCATGTAATGAGGTAAAAGTACACTAACCGGAAGAACTCATCCTGATCCTTAAATGGGATCGGCCCATCTTTGAGCGAGAAAACAAAAATTGAAAAAAAATCATTTTTAATAAACAGACCATCTACATACTGATTTATGATCAGTAGTAAAGAAAAATTCCCGAAACACTAACATATAAACAGCTCATACAGTTGAGAATCAAATAACAGAGCATCAAGAATGAAAGGCGTTCGAATCGAAATTAATATTACCTTTTAGAGGGTAACAGAACTGGGACGACAAGCTTTGGATAGTGATTCTTCTACCACAAGATTCAAATACTAATAATAGTAAGCCAAGAAGTTCAAAACCAGCTACGAACAGTGATTTCCTCGGAACCTAGGATTAGAGAATTGCTTGAAATTTTTCAATTGTAAAATGACTATTGCTTCCAAACTAAACTCCATGACCGTCAAAACCCAATTTCTAGACCCTCCTTTTCCACGTGAATGTAAAGGATTATTTATAGGGAAAGTTGGGGCCATTTTGGGGGGGAATCCATTGGAGAAATTCAAACAAAAAGTTTAGAATTTCTTTTCTCCTTTCCAAGATCAACAGTGAAAGAGATTTGAAGATCTCTGAAAGGGATAAGCGATTTGATCGATTAGGTTGCTAGGGTTATGGGTTCTGCAGGGTAGTTTCTTTTCATTCTTTTCTTGCGTGAAGAAGAAGAGTATGGGCAGTGGGGTCGGGGTACTGTTGGATGCGACTTCTTGCTGGGATGAAGACGTTCGCGTGAAGAAGAAGAAGAAAACATACAGGGGTCGGATTTGGCTGGGAATTATTTGGTGTTTGTTGGAATTGAATTGGAATTCTTGAATTGAAATGGGTATGTTATATTTGTGTATAGAAAGAGTGGGCCAGCTGGGAAAGTGAAATTGGGCTGGATTTAATGGAAGTTGGGCTTAAAATTGGCCTAACTTTGGTCTTAAATTGATACAATAAATGGAGAAAATATTGGTTAAAATTCAGATTTTGGAAAATAACCATATAGATTACAAATTCGGCCGAGTGAAGTTAAGGACATAGCCGATTTGAATTAATTGAGGAATTCGACTAAGGTCAAATAAGATGAATTAATATAATTAACTAACGAGCTTCTTAATCTTAACGAAATAAAATAATTAATTTAAACATAAACCAAATGACTTAGAATTATAACTATAGTTTGAACTAAACTAATTTAATAGAGTATTTAATTAAAATAAAATCTCTTTGAGATAGTTTTTGAAAATTCATAAAATATACTAATTATATACGAAATTATGTAAAACATATATATTATCTAAAAGTTATAAAAGAGTGACAAAACTATTTAAAATAACTTGCAAATTTATTTTTTTTGAAATTTTATAAAACTAATTATTTTAAATCGTTTGAAATGAAGAAGCTCGATGATTAATATACAATGTGGAGGTCCAAAATTGGGTGTCAACAACTGTCCCTCATTTGACTTGGATTGATGAAGGAAATTCGAGGCAAATGAAATTGACAAATCCAATTTTGACCGACTACATCTTCATCTTTAGGTAAGGGATTTTGGTATGGACTTTAGGAATTATGGCCGAACCTCGGTATCAGGTTTCCTACATATCTCAAGCTATATGAAAATTCAGGCCACTTGTAGTTCTATATGCTTGATTTAACGCACGACTCTGAAAGAGTTCAAAAGCTATCCCGATATCAAATTATGAAGAGACCGGAATGCTCGAGAATAAGATTTGCGAGAGGATGTCGGAATACAGCCAAGTTTTCAACTTTGAGCCCGCCTACATATCCTTAAACCTTAGGAATCAGGTTGTTTGTAGTTCGACTCGATCTATTGAAAAGGAAATCTATTATGCGAGATAACCTTCGTTTGTGGATGAGTGACAAGTAAGTCGAGTATGAAAAAGAGGCTTGCAACCTCTTAGCCATGAATGTGGCGCGCTTCACACCCATAATTAAGAACTTACATGGACATAATTTTGAAAGCTCTTGGTGCATTGTCACTCAGATTGGAAAGCTGCCTCCGGTGAGAGTAAAAAGTTTTCCGGATGCGAAATTGTAATGGATAAACCAAAAGGAAATGCCCTCATGCCTTTTGATAGGGGTGTGGATTGATTGTGGTGGAAGTCGCTCATCAGCTCGCGTCCTAAGAGTTTGATACTCCTCTTTGGACTATGTCCCAGTTCGCTACTAAGAAAAGTTCCACGTTGTGCTGCTTCCTTTTTGATGTCGTCCGCACATGTGGTTTGATTTGAGTATTCATCCTCTCGGATGCTCTTGACACAGACTGAGATAAAACTAATTAGTGTAAAATATAATTCAATTGGAGAGATAGTGTCATTTACCATGTTGGCACTTAATTTTTCTCCTTGAATATTTGATGTCAACTTCTTTCAACTTGACCTAAAACAAATAAATCTTGTATCTCATATTTGCGACATGACTCTTCACTGTACTCTTCCTTTAATATCGAAGTAGTAAAATAGACTAATGTAATATGTTGATGGTTCTCTTGATGATTGAATATGATGGCCCTCTTGGCGGTCCGAATATGATGGCCCTCTTGGCAATTTGAAATATGATGGCCCTTTCGGCAGTTTGAATATGCAATGGCCCTCTCGGCGGTTTGAACATGCAATGGCCCTCTTGGCAGTTTGAATATGCCATGGCCCTCTTGGCGGTTTGAATATAAATGCCCCTCTTGGCGGCTTGAATATGCAATGGCCCTCTTAGCGATTTGAATATGCAATGGCCCTCTTAGCGGTTCGAATATAAATGCCCATCTTGGCATTTTGATATGCAATGGCCCTCTTGGCGGTTTGAATATAAATGTCTCTCTTGGTATTTGAATATGCAATGGCCCTTTCGGCAGCTTGAATATGCAATGGCCCTCTTGGCGGCTTGAATATGCAATGGCCCTCTCGGCGATTTAAATATGAATGGCCCTCTCAGCAGTTTGAATATGAATGGCCCCCTTTCAGCAATTTAATTATAAATTGCCCTCTTGGCGGTTTGAATATGATGGCCCTATTGGCGGTTTGAATATGCAATGGCCCTCTCAGCGGTTTGAATATGATGGCCCTCTTGGCGGTTGAATTGGCAATTGCCCTCTCGGCAATTTAAATATGAATGGCCTTATCGGCAGTTTGAATATGAATGGCCCTTTTGGCGATTTGAATATGATGGCCCTTTCGGCTATTTGAATATAAATGACCCTCTTGGCAGTATGAATATGCAATGGCCCTCTTAGCGATTTAAATATTAATCGCCCTTTCGGCAATTTGAATATGAATGGCCCTTTTGGCGATTTGAATATGATGGCCCTTTCGTTGATTTGAATATAAATGGCCCTCTTGGCGGTTTGAATATGATGGCCCTCTTGGCGGTTTAAATATGCAATGGCCTTCTCGGCGATTTGAATATGATGGCCCTCTTGGCGGTTTGAGTATGCAATGGCCCTGTTGACGATTTAAATATGAATGGCCTTCTCGGCAGTTTGAATATGAATGTCCCTTTTGGCGATTTGAATATGATGGCCCTTTCGGCGATTTGAATATAAATGACCCTATTGGCGGTTTGAATATGCAATGGCCTTCTCGGCTATTTAAATATGAATCGCCCTCTCGGCAGTTTGAATATGAATGGCCCTTTTGGTGATTTGAATATGATGGCCCTTTCGATGATTTAATATAAATGGCCCTCTTGGCGGTTTGAATATGATGGCCCTCTTAGCGGTTTGAATATGCAATGGCCCTCTCGGCGGTTTTAATATGAATTTGACTATGAACGTCGTCTTTCATCAATATTTGATATGATGATAGGTACTTTTTTATCATAACATCATTTTCATCCGTATCTCGCAACCTTAAGCGGTAGATACTATTCTTTAATCTGTCAAATACCTCTTTGATCAAACGAAGTTGTTACACTCACTAATTGATATTTGCTGGATATGTTCTCCTGAACTAGTTGGTTGATAGATATAGTTCCTTTGATGATCTTATTATACCCTGCATCCACAAAAACAATGTTAGTTTTGGTAACACTGATCTGTGTTGAAGTTGCCTTGCTCCTGGTCTCGTTATCTCTAGAACATTGTCTCGTAGATCCAATGAATCGGAGTAGACAAAAGAAAAAATCATATTTAAATTAAAACATTTGCTAAGCATGAAGTTTTGAAAAATAGTTTAAAAGAAAATCTCTGTCAATTTACTGTCACGGCATGCACGATACGAACAAAACTTTTTGTCTCAGATTTTTATATGACAGGTAGCTCGCTGGCAACTTAAAACCCTTTAAGAACACGTCAATTTGAGACCATTCAAGTTGACTTCGAAGGTCCGAGTATCCTTGATGGAATTTTTGAGGTCCTTCTCAAAAATTATGTCCCAGTTAGATGGTTCAAAAACAAATCTGATGATGATCACGGGAGTCTTGCATTTGAGATCTCCTCAAAATTATTCCCAGTTGCACATTTCGATGTGATCCTTGACTCTTGTTTGTAGGAAATGACTCTTCTTGTAGAATTTTTTAGGTCCTCTCAAAAATTCTGTCCCAGTTTCCGTTATGAGGGGAAATGGAAATCTTATTGGGAATATGACCGAACCCTTGTGGCGCCTACGTATCCCGTTGAGGCGGGAATCAGGTCAAATATAGTTCCCATCCCGAGAAGTGACAAAAATAGAAAATTTGATAAGGAAACGACCGAGGCCGACATAGACCGCCTACGTATCTCATTTTTGAGAATTCAGGTCGAACGTAGTTCAAGTACAAGGGGAATGTTGTAAAACATAATGCGACGATGATTACAAGAAAACTACAATTACAAGGAAATAAAGGAAAGAAGTATCATCTTTCAAATATAGTATCTCTTAACGGCATCTGAATTGATAGCTTTGCGCCACAGCTGACCATCCATCTCTGCTAGAACCAAAGCTCCTCTTGATAGTACTTTGTGTACGACATACTGTCCTTGCCAGTTAGGTGCAAATTTCCCTTTATATTCCTCTTGATGAGGGAATATGTGTTTCAACACCAATTGGCCTACCTCAAATGTTCGAACTCTTACTTTCTTGTTGAATGCACGAGTTATTCTCTGTTGATACAACTGGCCATGACAAACAACACTCATTCTTTTCTGATCACTCAATGCCAATTGCTCATATCAGTCACGAACCCATTCGGCATCGCTCAATTCAGCTTCCTGAATAATCCTTAAAGATTGTATCTCAACTTCAGCTGGTATCACTGTTTCTGTTCCGTATACCAATAGGTAAGGAGTTGCTCCAGTTGATGTTCAGATTGTGGTGCGATAACCTAGCAAAGCATAAGGCAGATTTTCATGCCAACATTTGTAGTTGTCAATCATCTTTCTCAGTATCCTCTTGATGTTCTTATTAGCAGCTTCCACAACTCCATTCATCTGAGGAAGATATGCAGTTGAATTACGGTGGGTAATTTTGAATTGTTCACATATCTCTTTCATCAAGTGACTATTCAAATTTTTGCTCCATTGTCTGTGATGATAGACTCTGGAACTCCAAAACGGCATATCAAATTGTTGCGAACAAAATCGGCCACAACTTTCTTTATCACAGCTTTGTAGGAAGCAGCTTCGACCCACTTTGTGAAGTAATCAATGGCAACCAAAATGAACCTATGACCATTGGAGGCAGCAGGCTCAATCAGTCCAATAACATCCATGCCCCAGGCTGTAAATGGCCAAGGGGAACTCATCGCATTGAGCTCGTGGGGCAGTACTTTGATCAGATCTCCATGTACCTGGCATTTATTACATTTTTGGACAAATCGGCTACAATCATTTGCCATAGTCATCCAGAAGTATCCCGCCCTTAAGATTTCCTTGCTAATGTAAACCCATTCATGTGCGTCCCACACACTCCAGCGTGCACTTCTTCAAGCAATTTTGTGGCTTCTACAGCATCCACACATCTCAGTAATCCCAGATCGGGTGTCCTCTTATAAAGAACCTCTCCATTCAAAAAGAAGTTGTTTGCCATTCTTCGGATTGTTTTCTTCTGAATACTTGTTGCTTTTTCTGGATATTCGCCAGCTTCTAAGTACTTTTCACATCGATATACCATGGATTCCCATCCCATTCTGCTTCCACATGTGAACAATGTGCTGGTTGTTTTTGTAAAACTATCTCAAGTGGATCGATATAACTCTTTTTTGGGTGTTGTATCATGGACGATATGGTTGCAAGGGCATCAGCAAGCTCATTCTGTATTCTCGGTGTGTGTCTGAACTCGGTCTTCCTAAATCTTTTGCATAATCTCCATACCAATTGTACGTAAGGTAAGATTTTAGGATTCTTCACCGCCCAGTCTCCTTGAACTTGATGAATCAACAAGTCTAAATCAGTAATTCTTGAATATTCATGTCAAGAGCCATTCTAATGCCAAGAATACATGCTTCATACTCAGCCATGTTATTAGTGCATCGAAATCTAAGCTTTGTTGTTGCTGGATAATGTTGCCCCGATTTGGATATCAACACTGCTCCAATTCCTGATCCTATAGAGTTTACTGCTCCATCAAAGAACATTCTCCACCCAGGATATGATTCTGATATGTCTTCCCCTACAAACAATATTTCTTCATCAGGGAAATATGTTCTAAGTGGTTCATATCCTTCATCTCTTAGGTTTTCAGCAAGGTGATCGGCCAAAGCTTGCCCCTTGATTGCTTTCTGAGTCATGTACACAATATCGAACTCACTCAACAACATTTTCCACTTTGCTAGCTTTCCTGTGGGCATTGCTTTCTGAAATATGTACTTGAGCGGGTCCATCCTCGAAATGAGATGTGTTGTATAAGTCGATAGTTAATGTATCAATTTCTGAGCAACCCAAGTCAAAGCACAACAAGTTCTCTCTAAAAGGGTGTAACGAGCCTCATAGGATGTGAACTTTTTGCTAAAATAGTATATAGCTCTATCCTTTCTTCCGGTCTCATCATGTTGTCCCAACACACACCCGAATTCATTGTCAGAGGTGGATAAATACAATAGCAAAGGACTGCCCGCACGTGGTGGCACCAACACTGGTGGATTCGAAAGGTAACTCTTGATGGTGTCAAAAGCCTTCTGACATTCTTCGGTCCATTTGGTTGGCGCATCTTTTCGTAGTAACTTGAATATGGGCTCACATATCACCGTTGATTGAGCTATGAATCGGCTGATGTAATTTAGTCTCCCCATAAAACTCATTACTTCCTTCTTATTCTTTGGAGGAGGTAAGTCTTGAATTGTCTTGATCTTGGAAGGATCAAGCTCGATACCTCTTCTGCTAACTATGAATCTGAGCAACTTTTCTGCAGGTACTCCAAATGCACATTTGGCTGGGTTCAACTTCAAATCATACCTATGTAACCTGTTAAAGAACTTTTCCAAGAGTGTCAGGTGATCCGAACTCTCGCGGGATTTTACGATGACATCGTCCACATACACCTCAATTTCTTTGTGGATCATATCATGGAAAATGGTGGTCATAGCTCTGATGTAAGTGCCTCCAGCATTCTTAAGGCCGAACGGCATCACACGATAATGGTAGACTCCCCAAGGTGTGATGAATGTTGTCTTTTCTGCATCTTCTTCATCCATTAGAATTTGGTGGTATCCCGCAAAGCAATCCACAAAAGATTGCAGCTCATGCTTAACACAATTATCGATGAGTATGTGGATGTTTGTCAAGGGGAAATTATCTTTCGGACTTGCTTTGTTGAGATCCCAATAATCCACGCATATCCTGATTTTTTCATCTTTCTGTGCCACTGGAACAATGTTAACCAGCCAAGTGGGATACTTTGTCACTTTAACGACTTTTGATTCGATCTGCTTCATGACCTCCTCTTTTATCCTTAAACTCAGATCGGGCTTGAACTTTCTGGTTTTCTGCTTTACTGGACAGTACTCTGAATTGATAGGCAGCTTATGGGAAACAATATCAGTGTTTAACCGTGGCATATCATCATAAGACCAGGCAAACACATCGATGTATTGCCTGAGCAGGTTGACCAATTCTTCTCTTTCTGTTGCTGCCAAATGGACACTGACTCGGGTTTCTCTGACCGACTCGTCATCTCCCAAGTTTATTGTATCTGTTTCATCCAGGTTGGGCTTTTTATCGTCTTCAAGTTGCCTCAAGTCCTCAGTAAGGTGTTCAGGCATCATAGTTTCCTCATCATATTCTTCACATTCATTTTCATCGATCTTGCTTGGTTCGCCGTGTTCGTGACATGTCATGACATTGGCAGGTTTAGATTCATTTTTACTGAAAAGAACAACAAATCAATCATGTTAGATAGAAAGAGTTTAAATGTATTTATTGCAGAATAATTCGCAATGACAAGATAATCAATTTAAAATAAACGAAGATTTCATTGGAATTTTAAAAGGGCATAAAAACGTTGGTCATGACTCATGAGTCATTTCCTTTTTAAACATTACGATGAAAAATAAAGTGACATAAATGGTGGTTTCGGGCCTCGTCCGAACAACACCGATTTTCAAAAATAAAACTTCAAATCTTGTCTTTGTCTACCAAGCCATTCGATGGATCATAAATGGAATGGCCACCCAATTTTGTAGCATTTCTCCAAGTCTGGCATCTCCGATAGTGGGTGTTGTTGTGCATTCTACCGAGATCACATTACAATCATCTTCATCAAACAATCTTCCCATCCCTTCCACTAGACCATCAATCTCAGGCTCTAAAGCTTTAGCAACAAATGACTGGTACAATACTGGAATAGGCTTTGGTATATCACAGTCATGCTTCTTCCTTGTTCCTGCTTCAAACAATTCTTCCTCTGTTGGGGTATAACCGACGCCGAATCGGAAATTTTGAAGTTGTATAGGAAGAGGTTCGGATATTCCATCCAAATTCTTGCCTAACCCACGCCCAGGTTCAAAACCACTTCTCAGCATAGTTGCGGCTAGCATTTTATACATTTGCGGCATTGGTACTTGCAGTGTCATATCTTCAAAAGCAGCATTCATTATCTCCACCATGTGAAAGTCAGTACCCTGAGAAGACTCTTCAATAACTGGAATGGAGAAACCAGGGTAACTACGATTACTCCCTTCACCATGGATGACGATTTCATGATCCTCCCAGATGAATTTCAAAAGTTGATGCAATATAGATGGGACTGCTCCAACAGCATGGATCCATGCTGTTCCTAGCAATAAGTTGTTGCTCGTAGATATACCCATCACCTGGAATTCAGTGACAAATTCTGCAGGCCCCATTTGGATATACAAGTCTACTTCCCACATGGTTTCTCTTTGCGAACCATCAAACGCCCTTACATTCATACGACTTTGACGAATTTTCCCTACATCATAATTTAGCTGAGTAAGGGTTGATAATGGGGCATATATTGAGTCCTGAGCCATTATCAATCAATACTCGCGCTACAAACTTGTCCCTACATTTGACGGTGATATATAAGGCACGGTTGTGCATCACCCCTTCGAGTGGCAACTCCTCTTCTCGAAAAGAGATTTGATGACTCCCAATGACATGACTTACCATAGTGGCCAGATTCTCACCACTTGATCCCATCGGTACATATGCTTCATCAAGTACCTTCAACAGTGCTTTTCGATGGTACTCAGAACTCATTAATAGAGCCCAAACATAAATTTGAGCAGGAGTTTTCTCCAAATGCTTGACAATGGAATACTCCTTAGGTTGCATTCTTCGCCAAAACTCTTCAGCCTCACCCTCTATGATCAGCCTTTTTTGGTTCTCCTTTCTTCGTGTTTCCTGAGTTAGTTCTTCTGGAATGTAGCATCTTCCAGAACGTGTCATCCCTTGTGTGGTAGCCGCCTGCACAACAAACATTTCTTTGGGTTGCTCATTGCTTTTTTCCTTTGTCAAAGCGAATGCTTGATGAGGTGCAGTTATTACAACAAACTATGGATGGGCCTTTATGGTCAATGAGGCCACTGTTGGTATAAATGAGTTGACATTTGCTTCACCGACAGTCCCATTAGCAATTCAATCTTCGTCTCTTTCAATCATGTTGATGGTAGCTCCTCCATGATTCGGCAATGGGTTAAGGTTCACATTGGGGGCAGGGGCTTGGAGAGTGATGACTCTGTTATCGATCAAGTCTTGAATCTTCTGTTTCAGATTGATACATCCTTTTGTATCATGTCATTCCCCTCCATAATGGTACGCACAACGTTGATCCACTCGGAAGAACTTTGTTGTGGGATTAATTGTCCTTGCGTCTACTGTTTGGATCAATCCTGCCGCTCTTAGACGCTCAAAGAGTTGGGTACGTGTTTCTGCCAAGGGAGTGAAAACTCTGGGAGGCTTTATTTCGAGGTTAGGACGGGGTAGATTGTTGGCATTTGGGTTGTTTTGTCCGGGATTTTAGTAGACTGGTGTGTTGGCTTGCTGATTTGGTAGTGTATTTTTGGTAGGTTGGTGGTTGATTTTGGTAGATAGGC